GTGTACGTAGTAGGAAGGACGGAGACACTTACTTAACCTTTAACTTACGTACCGTACCGACCTACTAGTACGTAGTAGTAGTAGACGACGACCTACTACTATATATATATATATATACTACACACACACACACACACACACACACACACACACACACACACACACACACACACACACACACACACACACACTAGTATTAAAGCAGGTTAATAATGACGGAAAAACATTGTTAGATGATTAACGAAATTTGTAGAATTTAACTAAAACGAACTTGTCTATACCCTTCTTCACTTATTTCATCAGTCTTGAAGTAATTCTTTAATCGCCACATTTTTAGCAAAAACTACGCTAAAAAAAGTACTTGTGCACTTTGAAAGAGACTTAAATAGCACTCTTGAGCCTTTTCATTGTATTTAAGGTCAGGAAGTACAAAACGGTGTAGACTTCGACTGCACGATGAATAAAAGAATATTTGGCAGTTTATTTTTTCTTTGTTTTAAGGTCAAGTACGTAATATGTTAAAATACCAAAAGATTGTTTAATAATTAATATCTATTGACTACTTAACTTTTTAAACACTGAGTAGTAATAGTACGCCTATTTGTATTCTAATTTAAGCATTAGGCCTAATATATATATTAGCTGAAACATAATTTTGTACATTTTATTTTGCTTTCGGCTACAAACTCACGTCTTAGCTTCCGAATTAAACTATTTTGATGTTGCATCACCGAAGTTATAAAAAAAATAAAGAATAAAACGTATTTCTAGCAAATCGACATAAATTTGAACATTCAACATAAACACCATAGTTGGCCTAAGAATAACCAGGTGATAGTTTTGTTGGTAAGCGACGATGTTGTTGAGCATAACCAAAAAACGAGCGGGAAAGCATTCTCGACAGTGACAAAGGGAATAACCCTTTTCTCTTTTATAGTTAGTGATTATATTATTTATGAAATATTATTTATTATAATAAAATACCAAAGATTTGTGCAGGCATACGCATGTGTATGTTAAATAAAAACTTTAATCAGTTATAAAACAGAACTGCTCATCACTCCAAAAGCTAGAGACTAAAATTTTTGAAGCTTGTAGTACACTGAGGCTACGTTACAATTATTTCAAACTTAAATTCATTTTGATACGTGATTGGGCTGTAATAGTCAAAGTGCGAGTGATGAACCTCACAAAACTCCTAGCAAACAAAAAATAAACCACGTATCATAAAGTATTCTACTTGGCAAAAATCTGTTATTGGAGAAGTCTACAATTCACAGGAGAGATAGTAACAGATAAATGACAAGGAGTGAAAATACCCACTAGAAACTAAATCTTGCTACTTCCCATGTGCCACACAGGCTAGGAAAAACAAAACTCAATAATGAGTATTACGTTTTGCTAGCGCTAAGAAACTGTGATCCCTGGTAAATTTTGAATAGTGTATAAGTACACATTGCAGAAAATAAATTTGGAAGCAAATTTTAAAAAACCAACAAACTATCGGTTCAAATGTATAACTGCTATTTTCTTCAGTAATCTTGAATTCTGATTTATGAATGTATGTAGAGCATGCTGGACAGAAGAAGCTATATGACGATACTTTTAAACATTTTTGATAAATTGGAAAACTTTCTGCACAGTCGGAAATATCTTTCCAATATGCCTTCTAGCGATGAAATATTAGAGCCAGTTAAATCATATTTTAAAGCATTTTCAAATATTTTTTTTGAGTAGTAAATACAGAAGAAGGCCATCAATTTTTTTTTATTCGATTTACGATATATTGTTTGTTTAGAAGTTTCGTGCAAAGCTACGCACGAAATATCTGCGCCCGACCCAAGAAAAATTGATGTGCTAACTGGTTGGACAGGGAGGATCTTGGAAAGATGTACAAAAACATGCCCATAGTGTTTGTGTGTGTATTTGGCTCAGTATAATTTTAATCGTTTACTAGCTGGAGTACTGTACCCTATACAGTAGTTATGTAAATTCATTATCAATGAAAGGCTATCTTAGAAAATTTAGTTGCTTCCTTTATATGTTGTTTAAAAAGAAAACGGCCACAAAAACTGCTAAACACAATATTGTTACGTATCTGGTCGTTTGTTAATTTCCGGTATAAATTCTTCCCGAGGAACTTCATCGATACAAGTCCTTTCTTAAATAAAATTGGTTTATTCTTTCTCAATACAACTTTGCAATACACATAATTTCCACAGTCACTTTAACTTAAACACACGCTATAATTCACAACGATTCACGCACTTTACTTACGATCACTACCGCTCATTTGACTCAATTATCTGTCTCTATCTCCATCTATCTGCAATTATTTCTCCGCTTTATTTGCCGGGCTTATATACTAAAATAGAGGGCGCCTAGAAAAGACTAGTTGCCAGGAGCAGTCATGATCCTTCTAGAAACTCCAGCGCGCATGCTTCCAGTTTCACGTGACTTCCGCTGTCGTAACAATATGAAACCGCAAATTTGCATGTACCTCCGCATAGGCCCAACAAACCTTCATGCAAAATTACATGAAGATTCATCTACAGGGGTGCGAAGTAGTGAATAAAACAAATGCAAAATCGACCATAAAAAAAAAACACAAAATTTCAAAACTGAAAATTTGTATGCATCTCCGAATGGACCTAATGAACCTCCATACGAATTTTGGTGAAGATTCATCCACATCCTGCGAAGTAGTTATATGAAGAAACGGTATTCCACCAGTAGTAAATATCATTGTACAATAACTTTTACAAGGATAAACGTATACGTAGTAACTAAAATCTAAAACAGAACTTCTTAACATATTTATTTAAAAAGGATAAATAATCAAACCAATAATAGTCGAGGTTTTAAATTTACTGATCTTCAGTAAGATATTTGATGTTAGCTTACTACTTTTTTATTGGGTAATCGGGAATTTAACTAAACGATACCAGCACTATAACAAGTCAAAGTGAAGTTGTATTATTATGCATTATTTGGTTGAATGACTGAAAATATAAAATCCAAACAAACATTATTTAAATAAGTTATCTGTAAAAATAGCATTTGTATTAGACTCAATCACGAATAAAAAAACAAAAAACAAACAAACATGAAAATCCGAAAATACATTATTTTTATAAAAATAACTTATCACGGAACCAGGTGTTTGATTATGCTTTGTTGATTGTTTCTTAGCTATATAAATATAATAGTAATGTCTGTTACAGAACTTAAATACAAAACAAAAACGATGTAAACAATTTTAGACATCTGAGCATAAGCGAACATTGCAGGAGTCGCGTTAATTACAACACTTCTCTTTCATGCGTTCGGTTATATAAAATTAAGTTGTGAATTGAAGTGTAAAGTAGATAAGTTAGTCACGTTACACATAGCATGCCACTATGCATTTTACGTGTGATAAGATTATTTACTTTTTATTTCTTATACTCTGTCAAGATAATAGTTCCTGCATTTTAAAATGAGTTTCATTTTACTCGATACATAGGAGTTGGTACTTTGTCACGTAATGGTGGCACTACGTAACACTCAATAATCCAGACAACTGTGTCAAGATAACATTCGTGTGCGTGGGCTCACGACCTCCTCGTTCCTGGCGTAGGAGGAGCATAACTAGTATAATCCATAAAAACCGCGAAGTTGTGATGACATGAAAGATCACAGAAAGACATTTTTAGCCTTGGTGTATGCGTGATATGTCATTACGTTGATGGATCCACCCGTCGGAATGATTTTGTTGCTAAGTTTGTATTTTTTTAGCAATATTTTATGGTTATATGAGCATTAGTAAGAGGTACGCTACATAATTTTTTGGATAGTGTATTTACTTGTTTATCTGTATGGTAGACTAGCAACTACCAAAATGGTTATGTCGTTACTATTGTATTTGTAACTAGCCTTCTATTCAAATAAATGAATAAAACCACGTGGTAATATTTTTGTTAAAACTTGTCATTGTATACCTTCAATGTAAAGTCCTGAATTCGACGAAATATGACTTTTGATCATAAATTACTTTTATTTCATTTTCTCGTTAAGTCATGTAACATTGTAAGTTAAGCATAGGTGTACCGGCCTTGCTTAGAAGTTAGACTTGCGTTTTGCTACTAACTGTGTGATACATTGTACCTGCTCTGCAGCGGCATCTGTTAGAACTGCATACCCCTAGTCCTCCGTTTCATTTCTCGTTATTGCCATCGGTAAGCTTTGCACTCCTTACTTTCTGCAAATGTCATATTTTTTCCGAAGCAAGAATTATGCGTCTTTCATTTATCTGAGAATTATTTTACTGAGATAAACCTTTATCAACAGAAACAATACAATCTATAAAATTAAAATTAACAGCCATATCTGCTTACTCGTGACATAATGGATATGTTGATAATCGTGACTTTCCAAGCACAAATTTGGAGAAGTTGTGCTTGTAAGTTGTTAGTTTTGATTTACTAAAGGTTTCATTTCGTTTATACGTATATAGCTTAGAAGAATTAAGTACACATTTTGAAAAACTAAAAGGTGCTAGATACTTAAAAATATCATTGAGTATCATCCATTGAACAGCATTTCATGATGGTTGATAATCCTTAATTTTAAGCATAAGTCAACCATGTTATTAGATTAGTTCAAGTGAGTTTCAGAGGAAAAACCCTTGTTTTGGATTGGTGAATGGAATATATGTGAAGATTAGTTTATATAAAACTACTTCCTGAAAACGGAGTACATTGTTTTTGAAGCAAGATAAGCTTACATCACTGATATGTTTGTGTGTGTGTGTGTTTGACCAAAGTATAATAAGAGTGAGAGAGATGTTTTACATGTAAATAATTAGCTATTTTAGGCAGTGCCAGTTTTCAGGAAGGGGTCTGGTGAAAATACAAAACTTATTTTTTTAAATTGCTGTTTCAGAGTTTGAATTTCTGATCATGCTAGTTAAAGCTGCAATATTTATCTTCCAAATTAAGTAAGTTGTACAGTGGCACAAGAGGGTATTCAAAAGCTTATACAATGAAAACTAATCTCAATTGGGATGGAGGTTAGTCTGTTCAGGTTCCTTTTTTTGGAGTCTCTGATAACTAAATCTGACTCTGATTGTAGATAAAATATTTTTAACTTTTGATTAGCGTTAGCTGCATACATCACTTTTGAATCATCAGAAATTGTGCTTTTTCATAAATTGTAGAGAATGTGTTATTTGGGGTTCATGAAGAGTAAGGAGAGTAAGTTCATTAAAGGAAAGTGTATTCTGTTTTTGACTGGAAATGTAAATAACTAATAGTTTTTTAATTTATATCACTTGGTATCATATCTTTAAATTATCTTTATAATGAAGTTCCTACATTTTTTTTTCATATCAAAGCTATATTTCATCACCAAGTTCTTTTAAACCCTACTTGAGGGACTATTTTAAATTATTATCAAGCTAAAAGAGAGCAGTTTATAACAGTATATAATACTTACTGTGAGTCAATATATATATGTTCTTCTATCTTCTTTTTCATAAGAAAGTGCTATTTATCTGTTTTATTGCAGTATCTTAGTACATTAAATTTGCATGTCTTTTTTTCATGATATTGAAGGAATGGATAGTTTTATTATCTCTAGCTACATTAACTTTTTACTCTTTAAAGTTGGTACTTAATAACATAACTTGAACGTCTGATATTTTTTTGCTATAAGTCATTTTTGTTTTATTTACTGCAGTAATTGGCCCTCAAATAATTCCTTGCAATATTACTAACTCATTAAAAATTTCTCACTAGTTTATCTGCTTTCTGTACTATAGGAATCATTCAATATATTTTAATTCTTAAAAATATTCCTTCTTTCCTTTATATTGACATGTTAAATGTTAGTTTGGTCTGTTTCTAACTACAGTGTTACTTTTTGTTGTTTTTTTCAGAGTGTGATCTGAGGAATAGTGAGTCATTCAGCTGTTCTTCACTCTAACATGACTTTAAAGAAACCATTGTATCTGGTTTTGATTTGGATTGTCATCAGTGATGTTGGAGTGGTTGTTCATTCAAAAAGAATTCATAATCAAGATGATACTTCATATGAATCAGATCTGTTACATGATCAAGTTTCCTGGCCAGCTAATGGAAGGAAAAGCTCTCACCATCCTAGCTATAGACAAAACAAGTTTTCTTTATTGCGCAGTGAAAGGAGGAATGATCAGTTAAGAAGATCAATGGATAAAAAACCAAACATAATTCTTGTGATAACTGATGACCAAGATGTAGAACTTGGTAAGAAGACTGGAATAGCTACTGATATTATTCAACATAAGAATCATAAACACAGAGAATGCACAATATTTGCACATAGTTAACCAACAAAGTTCTTATTATATATATATATAAATATATAAATAAAAAAAATCAGTCTGTTAAGTTTACTGTAAATATATTTGAAGCACTTGATAATACAACAAGATCAATAGTGCTTAAAAAAATATTGTAGAATAACTATTTTTAATTTTTGATGGCTAAAGATATGTTCTTCTACATAACAAAAGCAACTAGACCTTAATTCTATGGGTACAGTTAGAAAGGAGAAAGAGAATATGTATTTCTCAGGTTTAATGTAGGCTGAATTGACAAAAGTGAAAAGGAACAAACTGGATTGAATTTTCTGGTATAAAATAAGCTTGAAATGGGTTGTGGGAATAACAAGAGGCTCAGTAATTAATTCTAAAAATTGACCTATGTTATGTAAACAATAATTATTGTAAGAAACTTAATTGTTTTAAGTATCTTAAAGTTTTTAAAATTTTATTATTTGTATGTCTAAAAAAATATCATATATCATTAAAGCTTTACCAAAATGTTTTAATGTGTAAAGAAAAATCAGTATGATTAGCTGTGCCAAACCTACATGTAGTTGTTTTGGTTAAAGAACTTCAATTTACAAATTTTAGCATATTAAAGTTCTTGAGTAATGATAGAGAAAAAACAAAAAAAAAAAGATCATGACTTGTTAAATTGCACTTGATGTTCTTTGCAGTTATCTTTTTATTCTAAATTATATTAAGTCTTTTTACTGTTGTGATAAGCACATACTGTGATTTAAAAAAAAAAAAAAAAAAAAAAAAAAATTATTTTCCTTCTTGTAGTAATCGTAAAATTGAATCATATTGACATTAAATTCATTCTATGAAGAAACAGGGAATAAAATAGCAAGGATTCTTTGTCATTATCTCTTCTTTGGGTTATTGTTATTATAAAATTTTCTCTGTTAACAATGTACATAAAAATTGTATTCTATAATTTTGTTTCATCCACAAATGAAGTTTAAAATCAATACATGTATTGTTTTTTTTTATAATCTAAACAAATCTTGACTATTTATAGAACAATTAAAAAACAGCAAAATTTTTCTATTATTACAAGAAAGTATGCTTCATTTTACTATGAAAATTAATCTTTGAACAGGATCTTTGAACTTTATGCCTAAAACCTTGAGAATACTTGGGGAAGGTGGTGCTCATTTTCCAAATGCCTATGTAACATCTCCAATGTGTTGTCCTTCTCGAAGTTCAATGTTAACTGGTCTTTATGTTCACAACCATAATGTTTACACCAACAATGACAACTGCAGTTCTCCACAGTGGCAACAAGAGCATGAGACAAGGACATTTGCTACTTACCTAAGTAATGCTGGGTACCAAACAGGTGGGTTCAACCAGCCTTATGTTATGCTTTTGATCATAACCTTATAGAGCTTGATCTATTATTATATGAGATGATCGTGCATCAGCCTGACTCTCAAAATTTGAGCCATTAAACAACATATATAAATAACTAATCTGAAGTTGTTATTCTGTTATTATTATATGAGATGATCGTGCATCAGCCTGACTCTCAAAATTTGAGCCATTAAACAACATATATAAATAACTAATCTCAAGTTGTTATTCTGTTATATATTTGTCTGATACATGTCTTCAAACTGAGTGTTTGTTGTATGTATGTAATATCACTTGTAACAAGTCACTATGACAAATATATTTCTTTCAACCTCTCTTTATACCTATAACCCATAATTGTTATGTCCTTTCACAACCCTTTCTGTATTTTTGAAGTATTTTATCATTAGGTAAGTTTATAATTTATATTTCTTTAAGTTTTTATTTTCTACAGCTTATTTTGGCAAGTATCTGAATGAATATAATGGTAACTACATACCACCTGGTTGGAGAGAATGGGCAGGTTTGATAAGGAACTCAAGATTCTACAACTATACAATTAATATGAATGGCAGCAAAATCAAACATGGTGATGATTATTATCAAGATTACTACCCTGACTTGATTGCTAATGATAGTGTGAAGTTTTTACGACTATCAAAACAACACTTTGCCAACAAGCCTGTCATGCTGGTAATGTCTTTTCCTTCCCCACATGGGCCTGAAGATTCTGCTCCCCAATATTATCATCTCTTCCATAACATTACTACCCATAGGTAAATACTTTTGTAATATTTTAGTCATTAATTTAGAAGATAGTTTTCTGAATTACATAAATTTTGTACTTTGAAACTACATATCATTTAGTGTAGACCAGTATATTTCAATTAATAGAAATAATTAAGCCTTATGATTTAACCTGTCACTTATCATTAGTGAATACTAATATAAAAACATTCAAATATGCAAGTCTTAATGTTTTCACTAACTTTCAAAGTGATAAAAAAAAACAATTTTTTTTTTCTCTTGACTTTTACATTTTTTTTTCAGTTGCTTAGAACACATTCACACTTAAACATAATGGTGTAGCACAAATCCTTATTCTAATTAATATAAAATTTAATTAATTGTGTTGCATAACATTATAACCAAGCAAATGTTCTCTAAGATTTCAAGGTTGATTATGGTTGTTGTTACATGCTAGAGGAGGCTCTGCACACACAAATGCTAACTACCTCATGCCTGTGAAATTTGCATGCCACTAGCCTTAAGGTAATTCCTATCTAAATTCACATGCTTAATGTCAACTGTTCTGGTGCATGATAATGTCATCATGTGACAAAAGCCCTCCACCAAAGGAGAATGACACTACTTCCATGGGCAGTACCTTCCTCTATGCACTTGCAATAACTTCATTCTTCTTCTCAGCATTGCATTGAACAGACGTGATCAAAATTGTTCCGCCGAGTTCAGTTTGAGATTTGAATTTGTTAATGAAACTTTTATTTTCATTTTCTTTGGCTTTTTCTTCAAAAGCTTTATTTTTTTTTATTATGAATTCTCACATGATGTTGACTTGTACTCAGTCCTGTATGAGTGATGCTATTATACACACACAAGCTTTATTTCTACTATGACTTAACTGTTGGGGATGTTGCAGCCATTGTTTAACATGTTCTGGATTACCACAAGCTTATTTGGCCTACCAGTCCCATCCCGTCAGCTGAAGATCTTTCTCCTCAGTCAGAAATGGTCTAATTGACTATGAATTTAACCTGATTTTCTTTCAGTAGTGCCATACCATTTTATGAATGACCTTAACCTTCTAATATCTTTCTTGATTTCATTGTCAGGTATGTTTCATTCTTTGTCTTTTGCTTGTGTCCTTTAATATTTTTCATTTTTCTGTTCCATGCCCCCAGTTCTTGGAATTTACCTTGTCTTTACTCCTCTGTTTGGTCCATGACAATTCTATCATTTCTTACACCAACCATTCAGAAAACACCCATTCCAGGATCCTTTGCTTTTGGATGTTGAATGTACTGTTCTGGGCCCATTCACATTGGGTTTGTCTTATTGTCTGTCATTTGCCAGGAGTTAAGAACTTTGTGGTGGACTGCCTCTCTCAGCCAGTCTGCATTCTATCAATGAAACCGGCTCTACACCCCCAGGTCTTTTGTTGAGTTTGCTCTCATTTGGACACCTTTCATACACCCCTTTGCCACCTTTCTCAACTCTAGGCTTCCTCTCTTCTACTCCCCTGTTCCTCATCCATTGGCTCTGACTGTCAGTGCTCTCAGCCAAGCCTGGTCTTAACTCTTTCTACGTGCCTATCTTTCTCTTCATCTTCTCCCTCTGGTTCTTACCTTGATACACAATACTCCTTGTCAGGTCTTATTGTTGGTGACTCTTTGGCCGGCTCAAACTTGGTTTCCTCTGCTTCTTCACTTAGCATCCAGACTCCCCCCCCCCCTTCCTCTGCCCAATATTCTCTCTGTTACTTAAACCTCACTTTTTTTTTTTCATCAAGGGATATTATTTCTCAATCTTCACATATGGGATTTGTCTGGTCCATCACCTTTTGAGTTGAACTTACCAATTGTGTGGCATTCTTCTTGTCATGTTCCTGTTGTCCCTCCACAGTGTCTTTCACTGAAAGTGGCTGGTCTTTCGTCATTGGTCTGCCTGCCACTCCTTTCCTCCTGGCTATCCTACTGGGAACTACCTTTCAGCTATTACACTTGGCTGTTAGACCATGGATTGTCAGTCTCCCCATTGTTGGTTATCTGGTGGCCATTTCCATTGCATTTTGCCTTTTCTCTCTCCTTTGTTCTTCCCTGACCTTCTCACCTGACTTGCATGTCTAACTGGAACATTGCTATGGTTTTGCATGCTCACATATGTGCCCCATTAAGCCATTGGCTTCTTGCTCTTTGTACCGACTTTCTCTCCAGATTTATTTCCTCTTCCTCCTCCTTCTTGCCTGCAATTGACATTATTCAGATGTCTATCTAATGATGTTTCTCACTCCCTCTTCCACTGCACTTCTATGCTCCTCTTCTTGGACTGAACTTTCTGTCTCTCACCTGTATTATTGTTCAGACCCAGATAATCTCTTGTCTTGTTCAGGCTGTTTGGTATTGCTTATCATAGACTTCTCTGTTTCGGGGTACCTGCCATCCTTCTACCCTTACTGAATGGGTCCATTCACTCTTCCACTTGGCATATTCGTCTATGGATGTGGATGCTCGCAGGCTATTTCACTTTCTTTTTTTTTTTTTTTTTTTACATTTGATTCATCACCCAACTCATTTTTTCTTGCTTTCCATTTTTGCCAGCCTTTGGACAAAATCCTCCAGATTGGAATGTGTATTACTCCCCAAACATTCATCTATCATTAGCTACATCATCTGGCTGTTTCGTCTCCTGCTGGATTCGAATTTCACCTGGAGCCATTCTTCAATTAACGCACTATCTTTGAAAAGAATAAGTACATTTTCTTTCTCAACTCTCCTTGACATTTTTTAGGATCTCACCAGGTGGTTAGTGTTTCTTTCAAGGATATATTTATTTCAAAAAATCTGCTTCAAGCCAGGATAACTGAAAGTTATCAAACCATCCTCCTTGGCTATACCAGTGCCTATTGTGAGATGGGGTATTCCTTACTTTAAGTATCCTTATGGTATAAATACTTGCTCAATTGTCCAATCCAGACTACCAATTCCATGAACTACTGTGGAAACAGCCAGCACTAAAGAAGTGTTCTGCTCCTTTCTTTGGCTTATACTTGCCAGATTTTAAAAATAGGGTTTTGCAGTCACCCATTACACTGGGAAAATGTTAACTTTAATACACTGGCCAAAGTGCAGACACTCTTTTTTACATATTACAGAGTCTCATAGCAGCATGTTTTTAATGTTCAGTCCAGTTGTAATACCACTTATAATTTTGAACCACCAACCACAGGGAGGCAATCGGTTGGTAGTAACCTATTGCTATTTATTAAATTATTTATTGTTTATTGTTGATAGGTATTATTATGAAGTGTTTACATCAATGAATATTAAATTCCTCTAGTGATTGAGATTTGGAAATTAAACACCATTGTAGAATTAATGTTTTACCAGTTTATGAGAGATTACCTTTAAAAAATTCCTAAGCATATAAATTATGTTGGAATCTTAATACTTTCAAATATTTCAATTATTTTGCTGTATGTTATGTACATTCACATTTATATATGTACATTTTAATATTATTCACTTTTCTTTAATAAAAAAATACAGTAAGTTACTTTAATACTTCTGTCTACATACTAAATCAATATTTGATTTGTTTCAATATAGAAAAAAAATTATATCCTTCTTAACTGCTTTGTTTTATTTGTAAAACTCTCCTTGCTTCATTAGTGATTCTACTTATTAAAAATTCTGATTTTGATTTTTGTAACATTTTTCACAAAAAATTATTATGGCATTTGGATTTAATATAGATTTTATACATGGTATATTATTAAGACAAACTTAAATCTTTCAAACTGAAGTGAAATATTTTAATGTTATTACAAATCCTACATATGTGTGAAATATGAGGCTCATAAAAGGAATATAAAGGCACTAGAACCAAAAATTCTTGTTAGTTCAGACTTTAACTGTTTAAATTATAGTATACTAGCAGAGACCTGCAAAATATTTGCAGTCAATTTAGTATCTTTATTGCAACAGTACTTCTCTAAATACAAGATTTCCAGAATAATGCAAACGAATTGTAATTGTAGACACCGATATTTGATAGAGATAAATTAACACTGTAACCTGTACGGTTTTTACTTTAGTTAGAACTAAACTTTACTCATCTGGCAATCTGAGGGTCATGAGTTTGAATCCCCATCCCACTAAACATGCTCGCCCTTTCAGCTGTGGTGGTGTTATTATGTGATGGTCAATCCCATTATTTGTTGGTGAAAGAGAGGCCCAAGAGTTGGCAGTGGGTGGTGATTGCTAGCCTTCCCTCTAGTCTTGCATTGCTAAATTAAGGACGGCTAGTGCAGATAGCCCTCATTTAACTTTGCGCAAAATTCAAAAAGAAACAAACTAACTAAAGTTTACTGTACTCAATACTATCGATAAATAAATTTTTAAAATTAGTCTATGACCTAACATCCTACCTTTTTAAAAACTTTAAGCTTTTAATGTTGTTGTACAAAATGGTTAAAGTATATTTACATCTGCCTTTTCTTGTTATTTCTTCATTCATAGAGCAGTACTAGTGATTTGCTCACTGAGCTTTGCAGCTCCCTGCTACCGGCAGGCTAGTTATTGTCAAGTGCATAACGCATCTGCCCTGCTTTTCTTGGGTAAAAGTCTTACTCTGCATGCTTGTAATACATACTGACAAGCATAATTATTGTATGATAATGATGATGAATGTAAGTATATAAATGTATTGATGTGCATAAGAACAATAAAGGGGTAGTTTATACTGTACTGCATTCCTTTTGTGTATTTTTGTCAGATTTTATAAATAAGCTCTACTCTTTCTTAAGTTAAACGATTTTGCAATAATCACTGGTAATATATTTTGTTACTATTGAAAAAAAGCAAATAAAATAACTGTTTGCATTATCTATTAAATAAAATAAAAATAAACAACCTTAAAAGTTTACTGTATTTACACTTTAATCTGTATGGAGTGCAAAATGTAGTTTAAAATTTATTTAGAAGTAAACCAAAAAAGATTTATGGGTAATTTGTATCATAGTGCTTTTTCATCTGACCTGCACTACATTATTGAATTCTGATAAATTCATAATTCCAAAAACATTCAATGTAAAGTACAAAAACAGAATGTGATTTGTAGTATAATTCTTTGAACATTCTTAACGTTAATTCAGTCTTTCTTGTAGACATCTTTTCAAAGTCGTTTAAAAAATAAATAAATTTACTATCAGTATATCATGAAAGACTTTTTTATTTTTTAGGACTCCAAGTTGGAATTATGCTCCAAATAATGATAAACAATGGATTCTTCGTCACACTGGGAACATGGAACCTGTTCATATGAAGTTTACAGATATTCTGCACACGAAAAGACTCCAGACCTTACAGTCTGTAGATGATGCCATAGAAAAGGTTAGTGAAAAGAGAAAAATGAGTAATACTTTAAGCTATGTTTATTAGCATTATTAGCACTGTATTTCTAACAGTTTGAATGAAAAAGAGATAGAACATTGTTTAAAGTTTAGGTACAGTGCTTAAGTAACTGAAAACTAAACATTTATTATAATTGTTGTAAAATTGTCATGATTATGCTAACTTTGGAAAACTCCTAATTCATGAACTGGCAAAATAAGACTACATGACTCAGATACTTAACACAGTTGTGCTACATACTGAGAAGGAGAGGAAAAACAGAAATTATGATGAGCATATCAGTTACTACGATGAAAAATTCTTGAAGTAAGTTATGTATATAAGGTCAGAAGTGAGAGTGAAAAAGAGATTATTGTCTGTTTTAATTAGTATCCTATTTCTGAATGCTACTTCTGGATAGAATCATCTGAGCTTTGAGTTTCTTATTTCCTTATTGACCAGAGGTCCTTGTAAAATTCATTTTCAGTTAGTGTTAGTGAAAATCTGAAATAAGGAAGATGGATACATGATGTCAGTTTATCTGGCCTGTCAACTAATATGGGTGAAGGTTTCAGTCAAAGCTGATGTCAAGGTTTTCTTGTAATGTTTTTACAAGACTTAAACCATTTAGTACTTGTGTAGAAATAACCGTGAATTATCCATGTGTCTTCTTTCTATGAAATCTTATCCTAAAAAGGCTTTCAGATTTTTATTCTTGCAACAGAAATACTTGTTTGTTAATGTATCGGAGCTCACAGAGCTAAGAAATGGCATATTTGGATAGATACAACTTAAGAATTTTTTGTTGTCTTTAGAAACATTGAATATAATAAACTGGAGATGCATTTGAATACGTTTATAACATACTATAATGGCAAATAACTTGTGTACATCTAAAATAGTTCTGGGTATTGTAAAGGTTCAAATTAGAGTGTATATGGTGAGTCTTCTGTCTAAACAAGGTCACTTCAGTTGTTAATTGCTTTTTATAAAATATTTATGTAATATTTCATGTTTATACAAGTAAAAAATATTTTTCTGCTTGGTAATATTGATTAAAGACTTTTGTTTTTAAATATTTTCAGTTTTCTTTTATTATATAGCTAATTATACAAATTAACCCTTCTGTTTTATTATATATATAGTTTCTAGTTTTAAAATTTAATTCAGAATTTTGGTATATATTTTAATTCTGAGGTTTTATTTTAACATAAAATGGATTCAGCTGTTTTTTTATTAGAAGTATTAGATAGAGAATGAATTGGGTATTTCTTTTTTTAAGCTGTACAACGAGCTGAAGAAACTTGAAGAACTTGAAAATACGTATATCTTTTATACATCTGACCATGGCTATCATTTAGGGCAGTTTGGCTTAATTAAAGGAAAATCACAGCCATTTGAATTTGATGTACGTGTACCTTTCTTAGTGAGAGGACCTTTTGTTCCTAAAGGAGTTCGGTGAGTAGTACATCTGTTTTTATAAGACAGGAGTCTCTTCTCACTTCATTAGTTGTTTTTACCTCAAAACTTTTAAATATTTTGGATTTTGGCCTAAAGTTGCCCAAATATATTTGTATACCTCAGTTAATGCTAAGTTTATTGATACTCTAGTAAAATATAAATGAGATTAAGTTCATGAAGATCTTTGCAGAAAGATAAGGTGAAAGTTAGCTTTATTGTGGATTGGGAGCACTTCCTGTGATTCAGTTTTTTTGTTTTTTATATACAAATGTTTTAAATTTGGAGGATACATAATCTTGGATTAGTATTTTTACTGCAGGTCAGAAAGTTTATTTTCTAAATTTGTTTTGATGGTTATTAACCTGTATAAACTACATCTTACCATCAGTTTCAAGATGTTGAAGTTGTATTCTGTTTCTAAGTTGGTGAGGGATTGAAGAAGTACATCTCTGTATGTCTTAGTATATCTGTTATGTGAAAATATCTCTCATTATAGTTTGCAAATATCTGTTAATTCAATAAAGTTGAAATTTTTCTTTCTAAAATCTTGATGATGAGTTTTCATAGAACTAGGTATGTTTTTTTTATGTATAGGAGTAAATGAAGCAGCCATGTAGAAAGGTTACTAGTATGTAGTTATTTTAATGAATAAATAAAATCATTACTTACATTTGCAATTTTGCTTCCAACCTATTGTTTTCTCTTGACTTTTTCTGTGAACTCTGTTAAAGCACAAACATCCTTTCAAGGATTTGTACATCTGGTACCACTTGTTTCAAATAATTGCAGAATAGTTATGATCATATAATAATAGCTCCAAATGCACTTGGAGTTTAGTATAGATGTGGTCAGTTGTTTTGATATGGAACACGTATAATTTTGTAATCATTTAAAATACAAGGTATTTGAAAATATACCTTGCATATCACTGAGTGAATGTTTCAACATAAATGAGAGGTGGTTTCTAGAAAGGAAAAGTGTGTACTTTTTAAAAATGATTAAATCTGTTTCCAAACTTTCTTCACTGATGACACCCTAACCTACATACCTTGATTTGCACAACACCTCTGCTGCCACATGCAATCCTTTTTTTTGTGAATTTCTTTTTATGTTCTTATATTATTCTTCATTTGATGAAACTCTTGCAATATCTTGGAAATCATTGGATTAAATATTTCAAATACAAAAGTTACAAAAAAAAAGTGTAATACTATATCAGTACCAAAGTGTTATGAAAATATGTTTAAAGTTATCATGAAGTTGAAACTTTGATAGGTTTAACTTATGAACACACAAGCTGAAGATATCACTGTAAATTAAAATAAGGGTTTTTTACTGATAATAACATTTTGACCAAACTTGTATGATGTTATTATGATGACAAAACTGTAGCAGTTGCTTTTTTCTTAGGTCAAGAAGGTGATAGAAGCAATTCTCTTAAATTTTGATAACTGTGTACTATTGGGTAATAAATTCAAGTGGAACTGACTTGTTTGTAATACTGATACATATGCTATTGATAATGCTTGTAGATAAGTGAAATATTTGCTTATTTAGTGGAAAAATAATACAATTAAATTTTTCTTTTTGTAGTATAATATTCATAAGATTCATTGCAATTGCTAAAATAATGGGTTTTTTGCTGTTTCCAGAATATCCGACGTTGTTTTGAACATAGATTTAGCTCCATCATTCCTAGAGTTGGGAGGAGTTGTACCACCTGAACACATGGATGGAATGTCCATAGTACCCCTACTAAAAGATGCTTATGAACAATTCAGGTATGTAACATTAAACCTGCAAAGTGAAATACATTATTTTCATAGGGTTAAAGGTATTTCTTTCTTTATTTCTGTATGTTACTTTGTTTAAAATGGCAGCAATAATTGTGTTTATACTGTTATTCTGTTTTGTACATTGTCACGCATCAGTATTCAGCACACAATTGGAATATTTTATCAAGTATATGCAATTTCCAAATAGTAATTTATCCTGTGATAGTTTGAAATTAGTCTCTAGAATAATGTTTCTGTAATTTCAAAAAATCTTTTTCCAGCAAGTCCAGGGTAGCAACAAAAGAAATAAAGCCTAAAAAGGGCTGGAGGGGAAGTTTCCTTATTGAAAGAGGGTAAGAATATTCTATTTAAATTAGCTATCATAGTTGATCCTTTTAATGTTAAATGCTCATAATGTCACTGTGTATATGTGCATAGACAATAAAACTTAAAATATCATAGCTGACTTAACTTGTTTTTGTATCTTCTGTACTTTTCCTATTTAAATGAATGCCACATACTTGTTTTGAATATAAAAATAAAGTAGCAATGCTGCTTACTAATATTACAAATTTTTGTTGACTGAAAAGTTCAAATGCTAAACTTAACTTGCTACTGAGTACTAATTTCAAGGTTTGCTTTTACAGTTTCTAGTTAGTTTTTAAAATATCGTATACTTTAGAAACAGTAGTTTTTTGTGATGTTTCTCGGATATTTAATGGCTCAGAGACATGATTTTAATTTGTAATTTGGAAGACAGTTAGGTAATTCTTTTTAATTTATTGGTATAATGTTCTTTGTTTTGCTTAATTTCAAAGATGAAATGATCTGTTAAATTGAAACTAATTTTTTTCTTAGTTTTAGTTCTACTTGTTTTTATAAGCAAAAACAAAATTAATGTCATAAAAAGGCTAAGACAGTATTCTTCTCATAGAAAACCATTTTGGATATAAGACCCAAATGGTAGTAATGATAGGAAATTTGATTTAAAGTTCAGTTCTACATTAAAATTTTCAATAACAAACTGCATCTTTCAAAATATCAACTTTTTTTTTTTATCAACTCTTTGTTTTAAATAAATTAAGAGCCAGAATCCAGTCAGGGTGGAATCAGGGTTGCTTAATTAATAAGGTATGTTCAAAAACTTCCATCATAACGTGATCATTTAATTTCAGCAGTCAGTTGTGTAAAAACACTTCATACCCACATGATGTTTTACCCTAAATTGACAGCAAGTCATTTATTTGCAGTTCACAATTCTATATTATTTTAGGACAAGGACTAAATGTAAAAACTGACATTAAACAGTGAGAAAAAATAATATAAAATTCACATCTTTAAAATGAAGTTGGTTGTAGACCTGCTGTGTTTTGTGGTACATACTCCGAATTTTCATATGAACTTTTAATGCAAACTCCAAACAGCCAGAGCTAGCTTTCTGAAGTATTCATTACTTTTAACAACTGCTGTTTTATTATATATGTATGTATGTATGTATCTGCGTGTGTGTGTGTTTTATAACATATTTTCTAATATATTCTACCCTTCAAAGACATCTGTAATAATTTATATTAATTAAAAAAGTTTTTTTTATTTTAGGCAGAAATATGCCCTGTTTTTGGCATTATTGGATATCTACGAATTCCTGATTTGTATTTGAAGGTATATGTGGGAATAGCCATTATTGCAGTGAACTAATTTTTTAATGAAACATCAATATGTTTCAATAATGACTTTTTATTTGTTTTTGTAAATGTTTTCTAAAACAAATGTTTTATATATTAAACAAACAGTGGCAGAGAAAAAAAGAATCTTCCATTACTGAATGTTAAATTGAGAAAAAGAAACCACAAATTACTACTGTAGTGAAAAAAAAAATTAGTATTTAGGTAAATATTACTTTATATTTAAATAGAATTTTTGAATAAATGAATTAAGGTAAGTGGGACTTTTAATTCTGTGATTATAAATAATTTGTAGTTATAGCATTTAAAAAGTTGAAAATAATTATCAGAATAATTGATTTTTATGAGTTTTGGCTTTCAGGCCCATTTCAAAATAGCCTAATTGTTTTCCCTGCAAGTATGCATTGCTACTTTTTAAAAGGTTTGTGGTAATTTGATTGTTTTTTGCAAAAAAAAAACATTATATTATTAAGTTGCACTTCTCTTTAGAAAAGTGCATCACAACACATTATAAGGTACTTTTTCCAATTGTATTTAATGTTACACATGATTTGAAGCAATTTTATCTGAACAAAAGTTATTATTTTTTAAACTTTCATAGTTTTTGAGTAAGAAAACAAATTTTAAAGATCATATTGATAATAGATAAAATGCCCCCCAGTGGCACAGCGGTATGTCTGCGGACTTACAATGCTAGAAACCTGGTTTCAGTACCCGTGGTGGGCAGAGCACAGATAGCCCTTGTGTAGCTTTGTGCATAATTAAAAAAACAAACAAACAATAGATAAAATTTTCTTTTAAACTGTTAGACATCATATTCATCAAAACATTTTGATTTGATATATTTAATATTGTTACCCAGGAAAGGTACCAAAGACTTCAATACATTTGAACCAGAAAAAATATTCAGTAAACGAAAGATGATTGCAGAAAAATGTGGAAATCAAGAGTATTCTTCTCCATGTCAGCCCTACCAGGTTAGTCTAGGACAATTTAATTTCAACAATCTAGTAACTATGATTAGGCACCATGGCCAGTACTGCTTGGAAGTCAACTTTAGGGATGACCAACTCGATAGATTCATGACAACATAGACTGGATAATGGGAAACTCTTATTCATGAAACATAGCTAAGATACTCTACAACTAAATGAATGAGACACCTGACATGCACATGTTTTTGTTAAATTAAACAACCTTGATTTCTGTATCTTTTAAGAACTGCTATACTTTCCTATAAGTTACTTCAGTGAGACATCCACTATTGTTTTACTAATACTAGTTCTTCCATAACTTGTATTAATTTATAAGCCATCACTCATTTCAGAAGGATGTTAAATTACCCTTTAATCTGTAGTTAAGTACCAATTATAAATCAGTGATCATGATAGTGATCATGCAAGAATCTTAAGATCAAAATTGTGATTCTTGTGTTATAAAACAAATCATATTACATGATAATGTGCATTTTGAGATGATTAACATCTGAGATTGGAAGTAAATGTATGATGTTAAAATTTTTTCAGTATGTTCAATAAGCATTTTTTGTTAAAATTCCAAGCCATATATGTGTGTGTGTACTCACATATCTATAAATACAAACATACTTACACATTAATTATGGAATTTTAACATCCATTGTTATGTTTTATTGTATTTATTCCAATGAACATTATAGTAAATAAGAGAAAATAATAATACAATTATGACAGAAGTAAGCCTAAGCAACAATTAAAAGAATGTATTAATTCTAATAGAATGTGGGTTGAACACATTCTAGTGTGCCTGGTTGCAGATTGGAGGTTTGAACCATGATTCTGTTAGATATGATCCACACTTCAGCTGTGGGTGTGTTATAAAATTGATAGTCAATTCTATTTGCTGCTAATGGCAGATGCTGTTAACTGGATACCCTTCCTCTGGTCAGTAGTTCAACATCAGATACAGCTATATCTGAACTGTGGAGCTCTGACCTGATAGTTTAGCCTTTGTATTGAATAAAGTGCCATTTAGGTTGCCATTACCATATTTTAATACTTTTTTACTTATCATTAAAAATATTTTTATTTGCAGTACACTACTATTAAACACTATCACATAAGCATCTTTGTGGAGGTTTACAGAGCTGTGTAAAGAAAGGTTATGTTATTTGGCTTTAAAATAAAATAACTTGTCCCATTATAAAGTAGTTGGTCATTTATTATTCACACATTTCATACTATTTGTTTGCTTGCAATATTCTTTAATAATGTATTCCTTTTATCCTGGTTTCTTATTAATGCAGTTTTTAGCATATGGATCTAATATAACTAAATCATGTGTAATTAAAAAATATGAAACTTAATGTTATGTCCAGTGTATTATCTTAAAAGTGCGAATTTTCTTGAATTTCTTAGAATGTGTGTTTAGTTTATCAGTAATGACAATTTTAGTCACTGTTAAGTTCAGCATTTAACTCTGTCAGTTTGAGAACGTTATAAAGTTATTCCTATATCTAAAGAAGAAGAAAAAAATGTAGGAAAGCAACTTTCAAAATGATTATAACTACTATTATAGTATCAATGCCTATGTGATAATATTTATTTATTAGCATTTTTCAGGCCCATTTTTCTGTTGCAGTGATGTCATATCAATAATTTAAGGTCACATAATCTAAAACAGTAGATTCCATTACTGCATGTGGCCTTTTATTGTGCTGATAAAAATCATATATTCATATTTGTTACTTAATATTTCCTGTTTTTATTTTGTTTCTCATTAATTTTATTGATTAAAGAACAACTAAAAATATATTTATTATACCTATTTGAAATTTATTGGGTTTTCTGTGCTTGTATATGACTTCACTTGTGCTTCAACCTTGAACTTTTAAAGATGAATTAAATTTTTGCGAAGTATCATTTCATTATCATATTCATAATATTTTGTTTTAAACATCATTACTTAGGAAACTGTGCAAAAATGTGGTAAAAAAATATTGGTAGTAATTGTTATCCACAACAAACCTTGTGATGTTTTATCCTTATCAGTTTTGTTGTAGGAACTTAAAAATCATCAATAATTTTATTGTTTTTAAATTTCTTGCCAAAATTCTGACTTTACATTAATGTGTATAATACATATACAATCAGCTTTATCAAACATTTTCAATTTCTCAGGAACTAGATTTTTTTGTTTTACTTTTTAATATTTTTGTCATTAAAACTTTGAAATTCTTTACAGAAATGGGAGTGTATACGTGATGGTTATCGCTGGCGGGTACGAAAGTGTCGTAATGTTTATGCTCATCATAGAAGAAATAGAAACAAGAGGAGAAAAAACTGTTGGTGTGTAAATGAAGGTACTATCAGACCGTATACAGACAGAGCTTTAGAAGCCAAACAACGAGTTCAGAGTGAGGTGTCCTTTGATTTCTTGAGTGATACAACCAGGGAGTTTTCGATGAATGCAGAGGAAAGGAAACTCCAGAGAAAATTTCTTAAGGAACATGTTCGTCATGGTGGTGTACCTTTTATTTTTGAATGAATTGGCATTTTTTAACTATTTATTAATAACATGTTTAGTGTTTCAGTATGAAATAAATAGAAAGTTGTATATTGCTGCCTTATACTTGATTTTAGAACATGTTTTGGGATATAATATGGGAATACTTTTAGAAAATGTAACATGTCTCTGCCATGCAATCCAAACATGGCCAATTTTGACACCAGAAAAATTGTGAAGAATGCAGAAAAATCAAGAAAACTATACTGCTGCTTGAGACCTGCAAGAAGGTATCTTTGTACCAAATCCTATTTAAGTTAGTTCATGAAAACCCCACATTGTGCTTTCCTTACTGAAAAATTGAGCAAAAGACAAAAATTCCAAAATTGTCTATATATCTTTCTTGGACCTGTAAAACAGTCTCTTTGTACCAAATCCCATGTAAATTGGCTAAAATACAATGAAGTAATTATCAAAAATATCCCCTTATAGTTACTAAAAATGGACAAGTCCAATATTTGTTTGTCAATGTGTGTGTGTTGCCTGTAGAAAAGTATCTTTAAACCAAACTCCATATAAAATGGTCAAAACAATACTAAGTGATTGACCAAACCCGCTAAAATTATGAGTTTATTTAACCTTTTGATCCCCCCCCCCCCCCATATCTGTCATTCATATGTATGGGACCTGTAAAAAGGTATCTTGTTATCAAATTTCATGATGTAATTTGACAGAGATACAGCAGACTAATTATCAAAAACCCCTATTTTTATTCATTAGTGTGTGGGACCTGTATAAAAGTATCTTTGTACCAAATCCTATGAAATTGTTCAAAAAAAATTTTGTGTGTATGAAAGACTTAAAATGAGCAAATCCAACTTTTTTTTTTCTTCTTCTTCTTCTTCATCTCAGTGTGTTGTGTGTATGAAAATTTATATTGTGTAAATATGACTGCACAGGAGCCAAAAGTATACATTTTTGGGTTTTGATCTTTGATCTACATAAATCCTTAAAGCCTAAACCAATAGAAAAAAGGTGTTTCTATGGAGACATAATTAAAGTATAGATACACTTATACAAGTCAAAAAATAAATCTAAATATTTAAGGCATTTTTAATAATTATGGCATGAAAAGGTGACATCTTATATGATTTATTTTCACACAATATATACTTTAAAAAAAATCATTTGATTTTATAATAGTTAGTACTCTTTCATATCTATGGTAGCCACTATAAATGATTTTTGTTTTTTGCTATGGTTAAGGTAAAAGTTTTCATCAACTTTTATCTTTTTATTGCCATCAATGATTAAATTGGAATTTTGAAATAAGGTGGAACTTCCTTTTGTTACCCATTTTGACATTCCAATCAGAAAGCCAGGAATGCTAATGGCTTGGATCTTCAAGATGCAGAATGCTATTCTGGACTGTACTTCTCCAATTTAACCCCTGATTGCCAGTATGTGTGTAACAGAACATTAGTTTTCTGATCGGTTTAAGTTTATATACAAGTTATAATAGCTATTGAATACAAAATGATTATCTATTGCCACTTTAGTCTTCTGAGTTGTTGTTGATAATGTCATTGTGTGGTAGTATAAATACAAACTAAATAATGAAGAAGCATTAACATTTTGTATCTGTGTTTTTGCATATGGACTTTCTTGTTTTGTTTTATTCTGCAAGGCTTCAGACCCATCTTCATTGGATCCCGCAAGATAAGAGATACTTCTGGTCAAAAGCCAGTAAAGAGTTTTGATGGTGTAACACAGTTATCACATTGGTTGGATCTTACTGTTGAGAACTCTGTAAATTCAGAGGTAGGTAATTAATAAATGAAGTAGTTTAAGATGTAAAATCAGAGGTGGGTAATTAATAAATGTAGTTGTTTAAGATTGGGAAAATATCTTGCTGATTTAGGATTCAGAAATATTTTTGTATTCATCTTTTAAAAGAAAACTGCATACATGCTATTTTTTACATGATCAAGTTAGTAAATTTATTACATGTGAAGTGAGCATTTTTTTCTTTCTTTTCGTTTTTTTTTTCTTATGATGTATTGCTGTGAAATTATTGAATGCTGTATAAATACTGTATTGGTGAAATGTACTTTAGAGAATATAAGCTATTCCCATATTAAAACAGCAAATACTTCTTTTACAATACAATAAATGAACTATAATCTGAAGAATTTTAACTTTTCAAAACATGTCAAGCTTTATTAGAAAGAAATTGAATCAGTTGATATTTTAAGCTATATCTTCAACAAGTATGCAACATTTCTTTTTTCAAAATTGCTAATAGTCCTCATTGCAAAAATTAAAGTTTCAAAGTAATAATAAATTCCACTTTTGTAATCATTATTTTCATTTAACTTTTAGATCTGTACATATACTACTTTAGTATATTCAGGTCGAACTGATTATCCTAAGAGCAATGGGATAGGTCCACTGAATAATAGGGTATCTGACAAGATATCTGTTGCAAAGTAATTCGGAATTTGACAAATTTTTGGATAATGGAATAAAAAGAATGGTTACAATGTAAACACAGTGAAAAGTCATTTTTTAAATAACAAAAAACGCTAACAAAGACCGTACAATATTATCTGTAGAAGTCTAGCTACTCAACTAGGTCAGATGAGTGGTTCTTGTGCAACACTGGATAACATTTTACCACAGAAAGCACTCGTAAAGCAAGGGTCACAACAAACCTTTCACATCTAGTTGTGTAAACTGTTGATGTACTAGGCATTACATCTACTTATACCAGCAATTCTGAACTATATTAATTGAGCAGCTATCATCTAATATTTTATGGATATCTGTTATAGTGAAACCTTGCTCAATAGCTTTGAAAGTAAGGGCTGCAAAGACCTTTTGGTTCAATTGATCTTATGATCAACAAAGCATCTTAACTCTTAATTAATTATACAAGGTAGTACATACATTGTACCTTACATTACTACCTCATAGCTCGGAGAGCAAGAGTTGCAATGCTATTTAAATTGCATTTACAAACTCTTAACTATTATTTCCAGTTGCTCCTAACTGTTCATTCACTAGGCATTTTATCTACTGACACCAGCTGACCTAGCTTCTTAGGTATCGAGTTTAATTCCAGTCATATCAATCAAGAGAACATTATCATCAGTTCAAATGTCTGTTGGAGCTGTTTTTCATCCCTAGATTCAGGACTTCCTCATCTGGCTTGTCCTGAACAGCCAGATCAGTACTCTTAGATCTTTCTCATCTTCTGGGTCAGAGTAGAATAAAACAGTGTTTCTGTTTTCCTCTAACTCAACGTTATTCTTTTCTAATGAACTGGCTTGCCCATGAATCATTGGTTACATAAATGTACCTGATCAATGTGTACTGTGCACTTTCATGTGGCTCTTGCCTACTGTAACTCGTACATTAATTTACCATCTTACTGAAGCACAAGATGAGGTTCTCTTCAGGTGGAGTAGAGAAGCTTTTGTGATGCAGACATGTACCAAAGTCACACCCAGTTTACACTCTAGTGCATTGTTTCTTCACTGCCTTGTCATGCCACATCGTCTCTCACATGTGGCCTTTCCTAGCTGTTTATATGCAAACTCATGCATGTCCTGCCTGTGCCAGAACAGATGTTAGCAATGCCTATCTTTGTTTGGTGAGCAGTACTTCATAGACATAACTGGAGAGTCAACTCTCCAGTCATGTCCAGTTTATCTCCATTTGCCAGAAGGAAGTTTGTGGTGAATGACCTGAGTGGTGGTTTTTCTTGGAGTGACCAAAGCTGGAGTTGGGTCATTCTGGCTAGCAAAAAATCTGTGAGTCATACATAGACTGTCTCATTTGGTCTTGGACTCTAGATACCATACCATTGCAGTGATCCTCAGTCATTGATGGTTCACCTGCTTTGAGGTTTATCCTCAGGGGAAGAACATGAGCAGCCATTCTGGGTACACCAGGCATCAGTGACTGTTCTTCTTGAATTATCAGATGCAATGAGATAGAAGGCATAGATCTTTGCATTCTTGACAAAAGTTGAGGAGAGACTTAACGACCCTCTCATACAATCATCTTCCTTCAGCAAATGACTCTTCCTTTAGGTCTAAGTGTTCAAATTGTGGAAAATTCCATTTTCAATTACACAAAGCTTTTTTAAAATTAGATAACACAACAGTAGAAATAAAGAGCAATACATAACAAAACAGTTTAATATAATATCCTGCAGTCACAGTACCAAATTTTTCTCCTGCTTATCCACTCTGTGAACTAACTCAGAATTCTCTAACTTTGATGGAATTCACAATATTTAAATAAATTCTGGATATAACGTAAATGCAATGAACAGTTCTGGGGCAAAATGGATATTATCTACACATATATAAATGTTTTTATTCTTATGAGTTTCCACTTACTGTGGTATCAAGTTATAAACTTATTATAATATTATTGATCTTACACACACACAAATGTTCAAATTGAGACTAAAAAATCAATATTTATTTTTCCATTACCAGTCCTTGTTGTCATCGTTGACTCATAATGGAAAAGCTCTAGCCATAACCTTTCATAATCATAATGTTACAGGTAACTTGCAGATCGTAAAAGATAAGGACTTAAAACTAACTTTAGAAAAAAGGTACTAAATTTTGAATTTTAAAAAAGACAGTGAAAACTTAAGATTTGGAAAAAATATTGATAATTATATTAAAATTAGTAAAAAATATCATTATCCACTGTTTCTTTTTTTATATGGAAATTTTTTTATTAATTCAGTAAAAAACAGGTTAAAAAGTTTAAACTTAATCTAAATACAAGACAGACATTTCTTTCAATATCTTTAGAAACAAAACCATAGAAATCTAAGAATAATTTATTATTACCCCTATTGGTAAAGCTGTTTATAATTTTGGTTTTGTATGTAAAATATTATATGCACAAATTTTAACTAATGAAGTTAATACACCAAACATATTTTCAAAAAAGCACCTTAAATAAAAAAATACTTGTAACCAATTTAAAAAAGCCATCAAAATGGAATATATATAGATTCTACCTGTTCTAACTTACCACTTTTATATGCAACTCCAAAATTGCATAAAAACCCCCATTAAGTTCAGGCTTATCACAAACTCTTTAAACACAGTTACAAAATCTATTTCTGTTGTACTTAATAACATTCTAGATGTCTTGTTTGAAAAAATAGTTGCTGTCATCAAATGATTCAAACCACTAATTTTGGACTATTAAAAACAATATTCCAGTTTTGGAATGTTTAACCATCTTAAGTTCTTTAAAAACAGCCATTTCTATTCCTATGAATTTAATACATTATGTACTAAAATAGTGCCCCCCAGTGGCACAGCAGTATGTCTGTGCACTTACAACGCTAGAAACCGGGTTTCGATACCCGTGGTGGGCAGAGCACAGATAGCCCATTGTGTAGCTTTGTGCATAATTACAGACAAACGAACAAACTAAAATAGATTTGAAATATTTAGTCAGGGTTTTTAATGATCTACTTGATGAGTTTGTTGATACAGAAATAATTATTCCAAAATTTAAGTTCGTTAAGCATCAGTGTAAAAAATATACTTAATTTTTGCATCTATAACAATTATATCACTTTTAATGAACAAGTGTATAAGCAAACTGTGGGTATTCTGATGGGTGGTAATTTCTCTTCAAACATGGCCAACTTGTACCTGTTCATTTCTGAAACAGGTACTAAACTCCAATTTATATAACTATACTTTCCATTACATAGATGATTTAATCTGTCAACATCATAAATTTTAATCCAAATCAAATATATCCAAAAGAACTTGTAATAGAAAGAGGCAATAATAATGATATTCATACACAATACCTAGATTTAAACATTAATTTTGTAGAAGGTAGAGTACAGTTGACTATTTTTGATAAAATAAAATAATTTGATTTACCCATCCTTGGTATGCCCACCATTAATAGTGTTGTCCTGTCTATACTTCTAAAAGGAATTATTTCTCAATTTGAAAAAAATTAACAATAGTAATGCTTTTATGGATAACATTCAATTATTCATAAATAAATTGAAAAATAATGGTTATAAAGACTTCCAGATAAATAAGATGCTTATACTCTTTTATAATAAATATAAAATTGTTGAAAAGTAAGTTTTCTTGATCATAAAAACTACCTTGTGTAGAACATAGAGGTTTTTAGTTACTCTGGGCCATCCTTGGCTTATAATAACTAACCTTAAAATATTTAAAACAACAAAAACACTGTAACCTGAGTGCCTTCAAAAGGTCCACCTTTTGAGAGTGCTTGGGTTATAGTTTTTATAGTTTTATATTGATTTCTTGAACCTTTGTGTTTTTTGGACATCATAAATTATTCAGGCATTTGTTCAGTATACCAGGATGGGAAGACCAACTTCAGGTAGCTGGGCTTGTCTCAGCTCGCATGTTTTATACTTGAACAAATTATTAAGAAAAAGGGAGGAGGATGAGAGTTTAAGAACTATTAAGGTAATGGTTTTTAATTCTGTTTAACATTTCTTTGTAATTATTAAGTGAAAGGGTGGAGGGCTGGATATAAATTGTAGAAATATAGGGTGGTTATTTCTACTACAAGAATATTTTGGCTTATTTGTTGGGGTGATTTGCCTTTTTGTACATCTTATAATTTGAAAGAAAAGGGTGGATGTTGGGAGTTTTACATTGTAAAAATTTATTGTGTTTTATATCTACTTTAAGGCTATATCTAAATGTTAAGGGTAACTGCCTTCCCACAACTGGCTGCAGACAGCAAAAGGCAGTAGGAGTTGTGGGTTCAAGCACTCACCTGCTAACCCCCTAACTAATTCTCTATAGTTGTTGGCTAGTTTGACATCTGTGTTTGAGGATATTCCATCTATTAGACAAGATTCAATGCGTTTGAGAGCTATGATCAGACATATGATCTGTTACGAGTTAATAATGACAACAAAGACTGGTGATGGAAAATATTTTTGATTTTGAATGTTTGATTTGTACTAATTTCATTATTGTTTTATAATGCTGAATTTATTACCTATTTACAATTAATACATTTGATAGTATCAGAACTATTGATTTATTCACAAGTAAATATACATGATACACATATTTGTATGTATGTGTTTTGTGACAGCATAATTGTATATTAAGTTAGAAGTTTCTCCAAGTGACAAATTACATGATCTGCTCGGACTTAAATCAACAAAATTTACATTAAGTAAGTTTAAACAACTTTAGATCTTTGATTTCAAAAACCCACAAATTTAAGTGGGAAAAATAATTATTACAACAGAAGTTACCTGTACCTATTGTATAGACAGGGGTACATCAGCCCCCCCCCCCCAGATCTACACCTAGTGGAGGGTAAGTTAATACCTATTAATAATTTTAAAGCTACTATAGGCTACATCTCCATGTATATTTTAGCAACCTCTATATTTGAAGTCTGTAAATGTCATATTTTGTGGAGGATCATACTCCCTGAGAGTTACCATGTTCAGGTCTTGCAAGCAATTTAACCCTCTGCAGGTAACTTTTCTGATTTGTCCTGTTTTTATTTTTATTTTCTCTATGAATACATAAGAAGAATTACAGTTTTGATGTTTTCAGAGCTTACTGAGTTCTGTATATTTTCTTTGTAATGTGTGTCACCTTAACTAAGTGGCTTATTTTTCTATTTTATCATCCTCATGTGTCTATTTAAATTGCAGTTTTAAAGTAATTATCATCGTCTGAAGTTTTTCTCTTTTAATTTTACTGCAAATTAAACAACTTTTTCAATAAACTTCACAGATTATTTAGTGAAGACATTGTAAATATGTATACAGCGCAAAACTTTTGGGCATTTCCAAATTGTTTTTAGTTAAAATGCAAGTACATTTTTCTGTATAACTGTGCAGCATGTATGAAAGTTTATTTCACCCTAGGTTTAAAACACAAAAAAAAATCTTGACTTGTATCTCCAAAATGTATCTTTATTAGCTCATTAGTGAACTTAAGATATTGATAGCTCCTGATGAAGCTATTAAAACAAAATATTGAACTAATAAAGATACATTCTGGATATATAGGTCCTGATTCTATATACATTTATAGAAATGTACACATATACTTTATATAATGAGCTTAAGCAGCAGTGGTAGAAGAAATATTTCTCTTGAAATTTTTCTATGTTTATGTACTAGAAGTTTGCCAAGAAAATATTTGTAATTCTTTATAGCCTGAAATGTCGGAAAACGTTTATTCAAAAAAGAGAAAAACAGTTTATTGTATTTAATAGATATTATTGTTATTAAGTGTATTTAAAGTTTCTATAGTTTTGTTTTATTTCAGTAAACTTATTTAGTATAGACCTGCAATGCAGTATCAGAAATTGTACTCCATCTAAAACTTTGTACATGAAAATCCCCTTTTTAATTGCAAGCAGTAACAAAGTCTGCTACATCCAAACTTCTTGCTTTCAGGGCAACTCCAGTACTGAAATCAAATGGTATGGTGAAGATGATCTTAGCAGTTCCGAGTCTGGTGATAGTGGAGAACTTGTGTATAGAAACACTAAGCATAGAATTTCTGAAAGATCTGTGTCTAAACTTTCACAATCACACGTGTATCATTCTAACTTCTATTCACCTGGTTGTGTGGCTCTCTCAAACAATTCAGTAATTTGTGTGGACCCAGTTTATTATGACCAAAAGATATGGAGGAAAAATAAAAATCAAATTGATGTAGCAATCAAAGACCTGAAATATAAGCTTTTGGAACTGAAGGTATGAAATTAAACTAACAGCAACCAAAGTTGTAGTTTTGTTACCACGGTACTAGTTGCATTGCCATAGCTATCTGTTATAGACAGTAAAGTAGTATTTCTGTTACCAGAGGTACCTGTTTTAGATAGTGTTACAAGAGTTACCTGTTTTAGATAGTAATATAATAGTTTTGTTACAAGAGTTACCTGTTTTAGATAGTAATATAATAGTTTTGTTACAAGAGTTACCTGTTTTAGATAGTAATATAATAGTTTTGTTACAAGAGTTACCTGTTTTAGATAGTAATATAATAGTTTTGTTACAAGAGGTATCTGTTTTAGATAGTAATATACTGGTTCTGTTGCCAGATGTTTCTGTTTTAGATGGTAATATACCTGTTCTGTTACAAGAGGTACCTGTTTTAGATGGTAATATACCTGTTCTGTTACAAGAGGTACCTGTTTTAGATGGGTTTCTGTCTTAGATGGTAATATACCTGTTCTGTTACAAGAGGTTCCTGTCTTAGATGGTAATATACCTGTTCTGTTACAAGAGGTTCCTGTCTTAGATGGTAATATACCTGTTCTGTTACAAGAGGTTCCTGTCTTAGATGGTAATATACTGGTTTTGTTACAAGAGGTTCCTGTCTTAGATGGTAATATACCTGTTCTGTTA